AGCTTCGCCCAAGTTGTCGTGGCCGCGTTTAGGAACCGCAAGCTTCCAGTTTTGTCCCCGGAAGTTCTCCATCAGGGTCCTCTCGATGACTCAAAGATGGGCTATAGGATCGAGCACACGGACCAGTTCACGTAAGATTTTGAGATTCACCTCGATATAGTGATCAATCGTCTTTGTAACCATGGCAGCTTCTTGGATCGAGCAGCCATCGTCGACTATAACTCTCCCCCGACCGCACAAACCAGCCCTTGGAAGCTGTGCACAGTGACACAGGTCGAGGAGGTGAAGCTCATCCTGCGAATCCTCCCGATCTTCGCGAGCACCATCGTTTTGAACTGCGTCATCGCTCAAGTCCAGACAGTAACACTCCAGCAAGGCCGGACGATGGATCGAAGGATCACCAAGAGCTTCGAGATACCTCCGGCGTCGGTGGCAGCGCTCCCGGTCGTGTTCATGATCATAGCTCTCCCAATCTACGACCGGATCTTCGTGCCAATCGCGCGGCGAGTCACGGGTCACGAGAACGGGATCACGTACTTGCAAAGGATCTCCGTGGGCTTGCTTCTGGCGATCGCGAGTATGGTGGTGGCGGCGCTGGTGGAGAAGAAGCGCATCCGCGTCGCTCGGGAGTTTGGGCTCCTCGATTCGCCCACCGCGAGGGTGCCGCTCAAGATCTACTGGATCATGATCCAGTACTTCATCATTGGGCTGGCGGACATGTTCACATTCGTGGGTCTCATGGAGTTCTTCTACCGCGAGGCCCCCGAGAGAGTTCGCAACATGTCCACGGCGCTGACCTTTGTCTCGCTCTCCCTGGGGTACTTCCTGAGCTCCACCATTGTGGACATTGTGAAGAGCGTTACTACAAAAGGTGGCGGGCTCGGGTGGCTGCCAAGCAACATCAACAGGGGTAACATCAGCAACTTCTACCTGCTGCTTGCAAGCGTCAGCGCCGTCAACTTCGTGGTGTATGTGGCATGCGCGAGGTGGTACAGGTATAGAGATCACAGTGATGCTGATTCGGCATTGGATCGTGATGTTGAGTTAGAGGATGCACCATCAAAAGCTACGGATATTGGTAGTGTGAGCAAGAGGCCCTTGATGGCCTAGACAATATTTCAGGAAATGTCCATACAGATTCTTATATAAAATCTCACCAATCAAGCTGTGCTAACTCCACATTTTACATGACATTGTTTTGGTGTCTACCAGCTTACAAACATGTAATTGGATTCTGATAAAAGTTAGTAAAAGTGTAACTCGAGCTCCACAAAAAAAAAAAAACAGAAGAAACTTTTCACGCTACAGCGACCAGCTGATGTAAAGAAGGCGACCATTTTCTCATGGCCAGCTTCCCGTCCTCGGTCATGATAAGCACCGTGTCCTCCTCCTTGAACTCGCCCTTCAAAATCCCTTTAGCCAGCTCGTTGGTCACGTACTGCTGGATCACTCGCTTCACTGGCCTGGCGCCATAGTTCGGATCATATCCAAGCTTGGCAAACACCTGCACCGCATCGTCCGTGATCTTCAAAGAGATCTTGCGGTGTTGGAGTCTCTTCTCCACGTTTTGCAGCTAGAGAAAAAAAGCCAAAGATCATAAACTGCCTGATCGCAAAAACACAACTTACCTGGAGCTTGACGATTTCTTGGATCTGATCCACGTCCAGGGGCTGGAACACGATGAACTCGTCCACCCTGTTCATGAACTCTGGCCGGAAGGTGGAGCGAGCCACTTCCATCACCGTCTCCTTCATCGACTGATATGCCGCGTTCTTGTCGCCCGATGATTTCAGAGCGTCCAGGATGTGCTGCGAGCCGAGGTTGGACGTCATGATCACCACGGTGTTGGTGAAGTTCACCGTCCGGCCCTGCGAGTCCGTCACGCGGCCATCGTCGAGTATCTGGAGGAAGATGTTGAAGACGTCCGTGTGAGCCTTTTCAATCTCGTCGAAGAGAACCACCGAGTAAGGCCGCCGGCGGACGCTCTCGGTCAGCTGCCCGCCTTCTTCGTATCCCACGTATCCTGGAGGAGCGCCAATGAGCCGGGACACAGCGTGCTTCTCCATGTACTCGCTCATGTCGAATCTCAGCAGCGCTTTGTCCGTGTCGAACAGGTATTCGGCTAGAGCTTTGGCCAGCTCCGTTTTCCCGACTCCGGTCGGCCCCATGAACATGAAGCTGGCGATAGGACGGTTTGGATCCGCGAGTCCAGCTCTGGAACGGCGTATAGCATCGGCCACGGCTTGCACTGCGGGGTCTTGGCCGATCAAGCGCTTGTGTAAGTGTTCGTCGAGGTGGAGCAGCTTCTCCATCTCGGACTGGAGCAGCCTTGAGACGGGAATCTTTGTCCACTTGCTGACTATCTCAGCAATGTCGTCGGCAGTGATCTCCTCTCGCAGCATTGCTTTCTCAGACTTCCTGTACGTTGCAAGCTCGCCTTCGGCTTCGTTGAGTTGCTTTTGTAAGTTGGTAAGGACGCCATACTTGAGCTCGGCGGCTCTGTTGAGGTCGTAGTCTCTCTCGGCCTGTTGGATTTCGAGATTGACACGGTCAATCTGCCAAACACAAGCGCAAGTTAAGTTTCTGCTCTGCGACCAAAAAAAGAAGGAAAAACACAAAAACATGTGTACCTCTTCTTTGATCGAGTTGATGCGAGTCATGATCGACTTTTCCATCTCCCATTGCTGCTGCAAGGCCTTCTGTTTCTCTTTGAGAGATGCTAGCTCTGCTTCTAGCTTCTGCAGCCTCTCGCGGGAAGCTTTATCATTGTCATGTTCAACAGACAAACGCTCCATCTCCAGCTTGATGATAACCCGATCAATCTCGTCTAGAGCAGTCGGCTTCGACGTCCTCTCCATCTTCAGCTTTGCAGCGGCCTCGTCAACAAGATCGATGGCTATGGTACACGAAGAAAAAATGAAAACATATCCAAGACACAAATTGATAAATCTCGCACCTTTGTCTGGTAAGAAACGGTCGCTGATGTATCGAGAAGAGAGTATAGCAGCTTCGACTAAAGCGTTGTCTGAGATTTTTACTCCGTGGTGAAGCTCGTATTTCTCTCGCAATCCACGAAGAATGGATATCGCATCTTCCACGGCAGGCTCCGCAACATAAACTTGCTGGAAACGCCTTTCCAGAGCTGCATCCTTCTCAAGGTACTTGCGATATTCCTTTATTGTCGTGGCACCAATGCACCTCAGTTCACCACGGCCCAGCATTGGCCTTAGCAAGTTTCCAGCATCCATGGCTCCCGAGGTGGCACCTGAAAAAACAAGTACCGTGCTTGCAGTCGAAAATGCAAAATCCCACACACAAAGTACCTGCCCCGACGACCATGTGGATTTCGTCAATGAAAAGCACAATGTACCCCTCGGACTCCTTCACTTCTTTTAGAACAGCTTTTAATCGATCTTCAAATTCTCCTTGAAACTTCGCTCCTGCGATCAAGGCTCCCAAGTCCAATGATATCAGCTGCATTTTTAATGGTAAGGTGTTGCAATAGCACTCGCGTAAAACATACCTTCCGGTTGGCAAGGGCCTCGGGTACGTCTCCTTGAACTATACGCTGAGCAAGTCTATGCAAAAAAATCAAGTCAGCAGAAGCCAGTGATTTCCATACCCTTCGGCTATAGCAGTCTTGCCCACACCAGGCTCTCCAATCACGACAGGATTGTTCTTGGTTCGCCGGCACAAGATTTGAATGCACCGTCGAATTTCGTCATCACGACCGATGACCGGATCAAGCTTTCCTTGGCGGGCCATCTCAGTCAAATCCACTCCAAATTTCTCTAGTGCTTCATACTTGTTTTCAGGGGCTGGAACAAGAAAACAAACGAGTGTTGAAATTTTTTGGCAAAGAAAACAGCGAACCTTGATCAGTAACCTTCTGTGTCCCTCGAATGGCAGTGATCGCATCTTTAGTAGCCTTGGCATTGAGACCGAACTGCCCAAACAACTCCTTCCCGATACGAATGTCTTCCGCGAGTGCAAGAACTAAATGCTCGATTGACGTATAATTATCTCCAAAGTCCTTCATGTGACCCTTGGCTCGATCGAGTAAACTGTCGAGGCTCTGGCCAAGCATAGCGCCAGATATGTTTCCCGTCACCTAGAAGAACACGCGCACAATAAGAATGTCTCAATCGAAAGAAAAAAAAACACTTTTCACCTTAGGCTGGCGCTCGATGTATCGCTCAGTTGCTTGCAAAAGAGCCGAGTTATCAATCCCGGCCTTGGTGAAAATCCTCCGTGCAAGACCATTTTTTTGCTCCAGCAAAGCCTTTAGAAGATGCTCGGTTTCTACAACCTGTTGTCTGTTTGATTGTGCCAGTTCCACGGCGGAAACCATGGCTTGCCAAGCCATGTTTGTGTAATCCTTGGGAGAAAGCTGCCAGGAAAGAAAGAGAAAAGAAACTCTTGGAATTAGAGAACTAGGCAAATAAGAAACACTCACAGTGACCGGCGCTTCCAAGCGCGAGGTGCCATGGAAGCCTCGCCTGTGATCCAGCGACCATAGAACGCCTCGCCGGTAGAGACTGTCGGACCAGAATCTGGAGGACGCGCTGTGCGCGATACCTCTCCCGGAAACTTCTGCCGCTACAACTGATCCAGATTGACTGCTAGAGCTACTCAGATTTCGCGTGGCGCCACCGGCGATGCATCGCACCTGTGGCAGCAGCTCGTCCGCCGCTCGCAACGCTCGCCCGATCGCTCTCCCCTGCATCCTTCGTTGTCACAAAACCCTAAAATCACTAGCACAGCCAGGAAGGAAATGCTAGAGGTTTTTGGAGGGTTTTACACGTGGCACACTAGCAGTTTTGTTAATTTGCAAATAGAGGTTAGCAATTCAATTCTGAATTTTAAAGGAATAGTACGTGTTTGAGTAGTTTGCTTGGATCCCATAAAAGAAAGGCCCAAAAAGCTCTTAAAAACTTCTTTGGTGTCTTCCATGTTTCTGCATTACTTTGATTTCATAGTCAACAATCTCTTCCACTTGTTACTTCAATTGAATCCTCTGTACAAAGGCCAGCCACTCAGCGATTTGCACAACATTTATTATTTATTAAATATACAAACTAGAAGAAATTATTTAAGTACTAAGGTTATGGTTAGAGTAGTTGAGGTCCTTAAAACATTGATGTATAATTTAAGTTTAATGTGGACTTTATAAATTAGTAGATTTCATGTTCCATTGAAAATTTTTAAATGTAGATTGTTAATGTAATTATAATGGTCAGAAGAAATAAATGATATATATACAGAAGAAGGTTTATATGATAGATTTGTCATCTATAAAGTCTGACATTTAAGTTTTTAAAACTTTATTATTTATTATTTATACTTTGGTGATAGTGAATATACCTAGAATCTATATTCTCTCATCTACATTTATATTAATATTGTCTTTATATGTTTATAATTTATAAACTTTCTTAAACACCTCTAAGTATATTCTAGCAATTAAATTCATCTTGTATTTATAAATTATAAACATGTTTATAATTTAAATAATTTACAGTGTGTTCCATGCAGCAACACTTGGTTTGTTTAATAGTAGTATTATTTGTATTTATTAATCTAATTTATTTATAATTATAAACATGTTTATAAATTATAAACACAATATTAATCTTATTACATATCAACCATTAGAAGGTAGAATAAACTAGAATATACTACGAAGTGTTTAGGAAAATTTATACATTATAATAATAAGATTAATCTAAATGAATAACACATTAGATGGTAGAATATCTTAGAATATCCAGGAATATGCTAGATATATTCCAATCCCTCTACAGGTCAAACCAAAAACTCTCTTAAACTTTAAGCCATGCAAAAGAGGTTCAAAATTCTAATTTTCTGGAGTTAGCTGAAATCACAAGTTAGGATCAACATTTTTTTGCCATTAATAACTCTGGTAAGGGAATTTATTATACATATGGTAAGAACATGTATCAAGAACTTGTGGAAAAATACTCCAGAATCTAAGAAAATATTTAGGGGCAAAATGAAGGATTACTAACGGTTAAAAGGCTTAAAAGTTGCAAAGAGAATATTGTCAGGTTGATAAATGTCATATATTATTGACCGAATCTAAGCTTAGATAACAAAAAAATGATATATAACTTAATTAAAACCCATAAAGATTATAACATATTATTTTGCTTTTTTATTTAAAATTTTAATATATTATTATATTTTAAGTATTTTACAATATTGAGTGACTTAAGTCTATAATAAATAAAAAATAATTAATAATTTCAAAAAGTAAATTAAATAATAGTATTTTTTCTACCATATAAAAACTTACAATATGTTTTAAAAATTAAATTAGAATTAAAATTTTTAAAATAATTTACTGCATGTTGCATATAGCAATGCTTGCTTAATAGTAGTGTTAATCCTATTATTAATCTATAATTATAAACATGTTTAGAATTTATAAACACAAGATTAATTATATTGAATATAAACCATTAGATGGTAGAATTAACTAGAATATACTAGGAAGTGTTTAGGATCGTTTATAAATTATATAATTTATAAATACAAGATTAATATAAATGAATTACAACCTTTAGATGGCAGAATATTCTAGAATATTCAAGCATATTCTAGGTATATGCACTACCACACAGGTTTACTTAAGCAAACCAAAAAATGTAGAATAAATAAGGATATTACAGTGGAAAAAACTTCTTTATTTGTTGATATTTTAGATAATCCTAAATATAAATTTTGATTAGGCGTTGTAATATGTCCCCATACTAAAATACTATCCATAAAATTGCATAAAACAGTTAAGGTTAAACTCAGTTATCATGCTCTTATTTTGGTATATATCCTTTAATTATGATTATTAGTATGTATGAAAGAAGATGGACCTCAATATTCTATAAATGTTTTTAAAGTATCATAAATGAAATTTATTTGATTGTTAGGGCTCATTAGTTAACATAATTATATATTCTATAAATGTTCTATGACTCAGTAATTCCCTTAGTTCAGAATTCCTTACTTTAGATGCAACTCTGTTATTATTTATTTTTCTAGGAAATGTTTCTTCTAATAATTTTCAATTCTTTATTAAAGCATAAGCAGTTTCATCATTAAAAAGTACATCACAATCTCCATAATATCTTTTAGTTTTAGGAGCTGGATCATTTCTATGAGTTCGGCTTGCAAATTCCTGAAGCAAAAAACTTAAACGTACATTAATACAACATATTTATGATGATGCTGTGAGGTCAAGTGTATGGCTACATAGCCATATACTAATATTAATATAGTGGGATTTTGATATTTGTTAGATTGATATTAATCTGGACCACTCACTCCTATATATAAGCTATGGTTTTTAAGTTAATTAAGATGTACATTTCTGTATTTTAATTTCTATATTCCATACACTCACATTGGTGGAATTAAGGGGCATCTTTGATTGTCCCTAAAGAGTGTTTAAATTTGGAATTTAAATTTAAATTTAGCTTTTATCTAGATGTCCCTTTCATTATAACTTTTTCAATTTCTTCACTTTTGTTTTTATCTTTTTCGTTCATCTTCATTGTAGAGAAGCAATTTCCTCTTCTTTTAACTCTAGAGTAGTAGTTAGTGCAATTGCTCAATGCTATGTAATTATTGTTAAACAATCAAATTTAATTGATGGCGACATTCACGATGTGTGGTATAGTTGTTACTCTTGGTGCCAATCCTTGCGTCTAACTAGAGTTCTTATGTAGGAGTCATAGGGATGATGTGTACTATTGGTTTGATCACTTTACAGTGATTGTTATATATCATTTTTGGGATAATACTTAGCGTTTGTATAAGTTTCCCATATGCCTCCAAAGAATGGCACTGCAATGGTACAATGGTTTAAGTGTAACCACTTGTGAAGATTGGAGCATTCTTTTGGATATTTTCAAATGTGCATTTGGATATACTAACAATTATGATGATGTCTATTAACAATTATATTGTCTTTGTTAAGGCCTATTTGAGTCAATGATGCAATTTGGCATTTGTTTTCAAAGCCTCTTACTTCATGCAGAGCTAAATATGTCAGAACGAATCAAATTAGGAATGTTGTGGCCAACATTTTATAAAGATTTTATAGGACTTGTGCATGCATTTACTTTAGCCACCTTTGATGATGCTCTTCATTTAGCACAATGTTATAAGACATCGCTTCTTCCACTTTTTATTGTATGTTCTTCAGCTTATAAATGGTCCTATTCCAATGAAGGTTAATGTTGCTATTGCCTATATTCAAAAATTTGGGGATATGCTAGCCCTATAAATGGCATTTATGCCATTTATCTTTTGCATTTGCTCTAACTGCTCCACATATTTAATCCTATGACCGACACCCAAAGGTACCACTAACAAATTAGTCTGTTACTTTAAGGCTATATTCATTCACCTTTATCACATTGGTTGTCCAAGACCATTTGCATTATCATCCCGTTTCTCAAAGACTAAATTATTGGTCCATGAGTGGTCATCCCTTGACCACACTTTAGCATCCTTAAAATGCCCAAAGCCATGAAGAACACCTTTCCTTAATATCGCTTCTTCCATCTCCATTAAATCCTTCTTTATCCACAACTATACTTACCAACACTGCCATTAGGTTAAAGCTTAAAGCCCCAACCACTAAGTTTCATTGTACTTTGGGACTTTCTCACCATATGACCATATCTTTAATCACTACACTAAAGGATTGTTTTTCTTCCTTTCCATAGTCTAGGACTTTAGAACGACATTTTGTATCACCATAGCCTTATGTAAGCCTTGTGAATACTCTCCCCACTTTCTACCTTTAGGTGCTTTAGTTATGTGGCTAGAGTAAAGTTTCAATGAGCCATATTAAGTATCCAAGTAGGTAGTGCCACCCACATTTAGATTGGGAGTATCGACCATTCGGTCTCCCGAGAGAGTTAAAGTCAGCTTTTGAACACTTCACTAAACTATTCTACTTATTTGTCTGTATTCATTTTAGCTTTAGACTCTTCAATGGTTATATTATCACCTAGCATATGGGTAAAACTCCATCTCAAGTCTATCTCTGACTCCATATTAGGTCCTTCTCGGACTCCATCTCAAATTCCATCTTGAATTCCATCTTAAGTCCATCTCGAACTCTATGTTAGACTCCTTCTCAGGTCCATCTTGGACTCCATCTCAAACTCTATCTCAAACTCCTTCTTGGACTCTATCTCAGACTTCATTTTGGACTCTGTCTTAGATTTATCTTAGACTTCTTCTCAGACTCCATTTCAAACTCTTTCTTAAACTTCATCTTGACACTTCCACATATCATATATTGGTCTTCTTGTGTCTCTTTTCTAGAGACTCACTTATTGCTTACTTCATACCTGTTCCTTGAGCACTTTGTTGGGAGTTTCACTCCCACTCTCAACTGTCAAAATCAAAGCTTTTAGTCCAAACATATTACACTCATTTAGCTTCTGCTTCGGCCACTACCATATAACACCTGTTCGGCTCCACTTTAGGGTTTAGGGATTTGTGTTTCACAAATTTTTAGAGGATGGGTCTATTGAATTGCATGCTAAACCTCATAAACTTACAATCTAATTTGCCGCAATACTCAATACGGTCCCTTCCACTAAACAAAAAACCCTTTAGAGAAACCATATGTAAGATTGGGAAAATAGACTAACACTAAGTCATCCACTTTGTACTCTGTAGGTGGACAATAGTGGAAGTTGTAGCATTGTTGTTATCCCACTTGTACGTGGCCTAGGTGTCCAACAAACTTTGCTTGGCCAAGTGGAAGAATGTTTGTCAAATATTGATCCCAAATTTAGCATTGGCAATTCATGGCAATCATGAAATTAAACTCAACTCCATTAGTAGTATCAAATCATGACCATATAAAAGTTTATATGGTGAAGCATTAACAGATTTTAACACCCCTATAACAAATGTATACTAAAGAGATGGAAAATAGTTCACATACTTCGCGATCATCCCTTTGAAGGTCTGAATGAGCTATTCTACCAAACCATTTGATTGTGGATGATAAACACTCGTGAAAGTGTAGTATATCCCCAACTGAAACGTCAAAACGTGAAACAACTTAGCTATAAATGTGGGATCATTATCTGAAAGAATTCGCTCCAAACAAGAATGTTAAAACACCACTCAATTAAGGATGAAGTATCAAATAGCAGTTGCAAATGCACTAGCAAGAGCATTAACTTCCACTTAGCAAGTCAAGTAGTCAGAAGCAATAATGACATACTTATTGTTAATAGTCAACTGTGGAAAAAGTTTCATCAAATCAAATGTCAACAATTCAAATGGACAAGAGGTAACAATTTACTCATATTTCTTCTATAGCACAAGAGGGAGTATTACAAGTTTTGCACCAAACATAGCTATGTATATACAGATAATATCACATCGCATCTTTGGCCAATAGAAAGATTTATGCAGCTTTTTGGTCACATAACGATGTCCCATATGCCCACCTAGAATAGGAGAATCATGGTAGGTATGGAAAAAATTTAGAATAAAGATTGAAAGCACCACCAACCATAAATGATTATTAGGATTCATTCTTACAAAATAAAGAAGACCATCCTTAAGATGATATTGAAAATATAAATGCTGAAATGGCAAGTCATTAGCAAGTGATACAAAATTCTCAAACTCATTGTGAAGCCTTCAAATCCACGATTCAAGCTTTTGAGCCTCATGAACATTATTAAGAGAAGGTTAATTTTGCTTTGCATCTTGTGGACATTGAATATCAAATACAACAACTATTGATATCATGAAATCCTTATCCAGAAAATCCACAAATGTTGGAATAACAAGCTCGTCAGAAACATGAGAAGCAAATTCATATATTTGAAGCTTCAAAGCCCACCAAGAAGTACGACGAATTAAATTTTTCCACTTTAGTAATGAAGTAATTGCAACATAATCACCTTTTAATAATATTCGAGAACCATATAGATATGCATGAGATTTCTTGAAACCCTAAATTGCTGCTAAACACTTCTTTATTGTGGAATAGTTTATCTCCATTGGTTATAAGGTATAATTGATATATGTAATGGGATGGTATTGACCAAACACACTTGAGCTCTTTTACATCAACACACCTCTAAGATTGATATTAGAAGCATCCACACATAAAATAAAAAGTCGAGTGTAATCGGGATACACTAAAACTGAAGGAGTCGTCAATAGCTCCTTGAGATCCGTAAACACCTGTTAATAGTTCATAGACCAAATAAATGATGATGTTGACAACTTTAACAACACTTATAATGGTATAGTGAGATCAGATAATGATCAACAAAATGACCGAGATACTACACCTTGATCACAAGATGAAGTTCACACACCTAAGGACTCCACAATTTTCAAATAACACCCTTTTCCAACATCTTTTTGACGTTTATACATAAAATTTTAATCTCTTTTGGTGACCAATAATAGCCAAGAACTTTGATTGAATGAACATCCCCAATTGAAATAGAATAACATATGGCAATCTTGGTCTTAGATGACAAAGTCAAATTCAAAGAGATCGACATACTCTTTCATGAGTTAGTTAATTACTGAAACATAAAAACATTGAAGAGATCGGAAAAGGGAATAGAGGAACAAGACAAAAAAATAAGAGTATTAAAAAGACAAAAGTGATGGAAATAGAGGTAAAAGCAGAGGGATGAAAAAAAAAATAAAAGTGAAAAATGGAAAAAATATAAAAAAGTATAAGACAAAGAGGCTTCAAAATCATATTTGGCATGATTATGCTATAACTAATCTATACTATTGAGATCAAAAGCTTCACTTAGCACCACCATAATGACTATAGCTTAAGCTTGAGATTGCTTACATGCACAATTAAGTCCACGTCACCCCTATAAACTTCTAAGTTTGAATTTCCCAGAAAGTCATTCAACTTAATACTATTCGAACCTAACCCCAAATATTCTAAGACCCTTAATCAATTTGAAAAACGAGGTACACTTTTATAATACCATCTACAGATCCACTAATGCCTCCTCCTGATATTCTTCTAGATCCCAATCTATCCACAAGAGAATCCTAACTGTCTTTCATCATTCATGCTATATACTAATATTAGTGTAGTGGGATTTTGATATTCATCAAATTGGTTATTAATCGCTACTATATATAAATTAGGGTTTTTGGGCTAATTAAAATATATATTTTTGTATTCCAATTTCCATTTTCCATGCACTCACAATACCTAATACAACAGTGCAAATTTTGCAGTAGATGATAGGTTAGAGGTAGCCCTTCATATTGTACATATTTTGCATTCTTGAGATGTCTTGATAGGCACTACAAGACTAAAAATAGTAGATAGATAGATTCATCTTCCTGCCAATGGAGCTTGGGGCAATTGCCAGGGTGATTCCTTTTTACTTATTTAATGAATGAGAGAAAGTCAAAGTAATCCTCCTCTTGACTTGTTTTTAGTTTAAATGAATGCAACGAAAAAGCATGGAACTCACCGAAGAAGTTTTTAAGAGCTTTTGGGATCCGTGGATTGTGTAAGCTATGGCGGAGGAGAAAGAGGTAAAGCTATTGTATGTCTTTCCCAGCCCCTTTGTTCTTCGAGTGGTGCTAGTTCTTGAGCTCAAAGGAATCACGTACGAGATCATCCCCGACGATCTCTTCAACAAGAGCTCACTGCTGCTCCAATTGAATCCCCTGTACAAGAAATTTCCCGTCCTGATCCACAAGGGCCAGCCCATCTGCGATTCGCGCAACATCATCGAGTACCTGGACGAGGCATTCCCACACACGCCCGCGGTTCTTCCCAGAGACCCTCTCGCGCGATCCAGGGAGCGATTCCTGGCCGAGTTTGTGGAGAACAAGGTAAGCCCCAGAATTTGGATCGAGTCTGAGAGTTTCCTGCCAGATCTTCGCCACTTGCGGCAATATCAACTTCGGGCTGGGCGCCACTCCCGCGGATCTCGCCAAGAGCTGCGAGCTCTTCGAGGAGGAGCTACGCAAGCACGAATGCACGCCCTTCTTCGCCGGCGACAAGCTAGGGCTCGTTGATATCGTGCTCCTCGCGCCCGCAATCTGGGCTCGCGACCAAATGCCATCGGCAGATCACTGCCCCAATCTCCACAGGCTGCTGTGCGCGCTGCGCGATCATCCAGTCGTGAAATCCGCGCTCCCCGATGCTGACACCGTGGAAACCCTGTTGACCCAAGCCATGCCAATGCTCCAGCAGCTCTATGGCGGCAAGCCCTAGGCCTTTAAAATTCATCGAATATTCTCAAAGACATCAAATTTGGCAAGCTACCCTTTAGAATTGTTTGACCTGGAAACAGAGGAAGGAATTTTTAGGGTTCTTGGAGTGGGGCGAAGATCTGATGAATTCTTGAGTTTGTGTATGGATTTGACGCGGAGGGAGCGGGCGATCTGTGAATTTGCCTTCCTTGCGTGTTTCTTCTTGTGCTCGGCTGCAGCTTCTTCTACAGCGGGTAAGCATTGCTTCGTTGCAATGTTTCTCATGCGATTTTCGTGCAATGCGTAGACGTTGTTTTGCGCAGCGGCGCCGATAACAGCCAGAAATTTAATCTTACCCTCGCAAAGATTATGGTGGAGTATGCATCAGCGGTAAGTTGATTGAGATATTTCGATAGAGCTAGAGGAGATTTGGGATTTTTCTTTCAGATCTTAATAGCTAAGGAATATTTCAGGTATATGTAGATGATCCGGCAGAGCTGTGGCAATGGAGTTGTGATCGATGTAACAGTCGGACGAAAGTAAGCTTTTAGTATTTCTCGCAAGAATTTCCTTTGCTTTCATCCTTCTTCTTTAAAGGGATTTGAGCTTGTGGATTTGATCATAGATGTCAAACATTGCCTTCAGGTACGTTAGACGCAACCTTTTTTTTTTTGTTTTCCGTCTTTTTCTTCGTCTAAATTTTTTCCTGCAGGCTTTCGTTGGCCTGGACAGAAACCTCGGAGCCATTGTCATGGCATTTCGTGGGACTCAAGAAAGCAGGTAATGTGGTTTTCCTTTCAGTATTTGCAAAAGAAACGAAGACAAACTTGCGTTGCGTAGCGTCCAGAACTGGGTGGAAGATTTATATTTCAGACAACTGGATTTTCACTATCCCGGATGCGTTGACGCAATGGTACTTGCAGTGGCATTTACGCTCTCATTCTGACTTTGAGATCGTTCTTTTCCGAAGGTTCACCATGGATTCTACTCCGCGTACCACAACACAACGCTCAGGCCTCGTGTTCTCGCGGCTGCCCACGCTTTAGTTGGCCAACACAAAGACTTGAAGCTGATGATCACCGGACACTCCATGGGAGGAGCAATGGCAACCTTTGCTGCTCTGGATCTCGTGGTATGATCCTTTTTTCACATTTGGTCTCTGCGTAGCACTTTTAAGTTTTGGCTGCGTCTCAGGTGAATCACAAACTAGAAAACGTCCACGTTGTCACCTTCGGCCAGCCTCGAGTAGGCAATCCAGCATTCGCAGACTATTACAGAGCGATGGTGCCGGACACGATACGAATGACGCACGCTCACGACTTGGTTCCTCATTTGCCACCTTACTACCCGTTTTTCGGCGAGAGAACTTACCACCACTTTGCAACCGAGGTAAGACATATCAAGATTTGATTTCGCCGGAGCTGGCCCATCGCCCATCTGACAATTTCTATCCAAAACAGGTTTGGATCTACAGCTGTGAAATGGACATCCTAACTTACGATGTTTTCCGCGTCTGCGACGATTCGGGCGAGGATCCAACTTGTTGCAGGTAGAGAACAAAAAGAAAGAAAAGAAAGAGTTTGAGATTCCTGTTTTGATCTCGCGAGACCGCTGTGCAGATCGGTGGTAGGAAACAGCGTTTCGGACCATCTTATGTATCTCGGGGTGTTTCTCAAGGCGGAGCCTTTCCTGCAGCGACAAAGCTCGTAATGAGCTTGTACAGTATGTGTATAGAAACTATTCTTTCTTTTCTCCTTTTTCTTTTTTTTTTTTGTGGAATCCACTATTGCGATTCTACTATTCTACTCTCTAAATCGTCCAGATTATTTTGATTCAAGTGATAGTAGACAAACTTTCGATTAAACGCCTTTCGGACAATTCTAAGAAGCATGTGATCTTCCCAAAGCAGCAGACTTAGCAAAAACTTTGGCTGTCTTCGTACAAACAGGGAGCCGTCACATATAAACGGGGCCGTTTTCTTTCTTTTTTTCTATTTCCCGTTCTTGCTGTTCCCGTTCTTGCTGTCCCAAAGTGGGGCCGTCAACCCGTCACTCGCGCCAAAAAGAAGGACTCGGGCCCCCACGGTTGACGTCACTGGCGGGCCCTGTCCTTGGCAAGCTTTACACCAGGACTTTAACCAGCGTTTGCCCAACTTTTCTGTTTTCTTTGCTTCGCCACCCTTCTCGTTCAGGTGTAAACATTTATCTGTGACACCTTTGTCCATATCCAAAACTCTTTTTCTTTCTTTTGTTTTCTCTTGTTTTGCCCTTGTTGTTGTGCCTTAGGCTAGCTAGTCCAGAAGAAAGAAAGACGGGAAAGCCCCACTGTTGTTTGATCTTGAAGTGCCACCACCCCTAAAGCGAGAGCTTTGATAACATTAGCACGTTGTGGTGGACCTCAACCTCACGCACCTCTCTACTTTGGCAAGTTTTGATTAGCACACACACAGACCCAATGAGGATTTTGAAGTTTTGTGATCATTCTCAAAGAACTGTGTGGATCTTGGAAACAAAAGAGATAATATGAAGCTATGCTATAAGTGGACAAGAGCCTTTCTAAAATCTCAAACCTTCCACTTGTTAGCAGTTTGCTGCCACAGTGGTCCATCCCTGGCCCTTTGTATTGCACAGCAATAGTTTCCACACACCAAAAAAAAAAAGTTTTTGTATGTTGCTGTTGGTCCTGGGAAAAGCAAGCTACTGATCTTTTTCCCCATGAAAAAGATTTTTATTTATGTATTTATTTTGTTTTTTGTCTTTTCTTTTTTCTTTGCTTTTGCTTTGAATGGCTAGGGCCAAGGCCATTCATCATCAATCCATTTTCAAAATTCAAGTCCTGTGGAGATCAAATGGATGGCGATTGTCACTTGATTTCAGGCTTTGTCTCTTCTTGTTTATATTTTCTTACTTTCCACCGGCCACCTTGACGCTAATATAATGTTTCTGAACATTTTCATCAAATTATAATAATAATGTTATTATATAATGTACAAAACTTTCTTCTATTTTTCGTGTTCACAATAATTCTGGTTGCAGCAATATTCCTTCTTTTTTTTTTCTCTCTGCTTCACCGTTACGGTCTCCAGTCCATCTGGCAGCAAAGTCAATCAGTCCCCATTATAAAAATCTGGAGATTTTTCCAAAGTTTGTAACACGGCAAGAGGAAATTCACGACGATCAGAGTAAAAAGAGAACTCGCAGGTACGAACCTGAGAGGTTCTCTGAGATGATATAACACGGCAATGGAAGCTTACGCCCATTCCCATGCCCACGCAAACGAGCTCCCCTGTTCACCACCACCACTTTGCGCTTCTTCCATGAGGCCTTGCTCGTCCCTACAAGAGCTCTCTTCCAGTTTGATATGTTGTTGCTGCTGACATTGCGGTTGCGGAGCTTGGCTGTGATGGTCGAGAGCTGGCGGCTCTTGATCGCGAGCAAGGAACTCGTCGGCGTAGAGAAAGACGTGGTGCTGCTCGGCCTCGTTGCAATTGTAAGCAACAGTGGCGTCGGCTGTTGTCACAAGTGTCGCTGTTGTTAAGTGTTCTTGAATCGGGCTCTCAACTTCCAAAATCTCGCTGCCATCGCTGTCGGAGCAAAAGCTCCCCTCCTTCTTGGCGTCCATCATCGATATCGCGGCCTTGATGTCAATGGCTTGTTGCGCACCGTCGAGCTGGGAATTGGTGGTGGAAGCAGGCTCCTCATGATCGAATTCCATCTTGGCGAGTTCTTCCGCGGCCTCCTGTTTGATGCTCTTGCCCGAGAAAGCTTGCTTGCGAGGATCATCCATGCGAAGCCTCAGCCGAGAGACCTGTTAGAAAACATTTCATATCAGTATGAATTCGTGGCTCTGGAAAGAGTATCATGCTTGAATTCCAGGAAAGAAGATCTACCTCGGCCTGGAGCTTGTCCCTCTCTTTGGCAAGATCCACGTAGCTCGCCTTCAAATCGTCATACTCCGACTTGAGGAGATCGTAGTCCTTCTCCAGCTGCTTGGTCTTCCACCTCGCTCGGCGGTTTTGGAACCACACGGCCACTTGCCTTGGCTGCAATCCAAGCTCCTTGGCCAGCTGAATCTTCCGGTCGGGCTCTAGCTTGTTCTCGATCTCGAAGTTCTTCTCTAGAGCCTTGACTTGCTCCACCGAGAGCCTCCGCTTCTTCTCGACGTGTTGAGCTATGGATTCGTCGCACAAATCATCGTCGCCAGCCTCCTCAGTGGAGGCCTCGAAAATTGGGAAGAGAGGACGCTTGTGACAATGCATTCCTTCATCCATTCCTAGAAGAAAAAAGAACCACGCATGAGTGAGTGATTGGTATTCATGATAGTTGAAAGCTTGAAAGAGAAGAAAGAAAAGTAGGGAGAATCTTTAATTTGACAAAACCAAGAACTTGGAAGGAAGAATGGGAAATTTTGAGAAAAAAGGAAGAAAGTGTGAGCCTCTGACCTTGGAATGCCAATGGAGAACACGATGCGATCACCGCCGCCAACCCATCCGCCGCGGTGCCACATTCCGGAGAGGCGAAAACATCAGCGAACAATCTGGGGGCTCCTGGCGATCCCATATTCGTCTCGCCAGTACGAGAGTGGGAAGAAAAGAAAGCCCTCGCTCGCTGCGCACTGCTCGACCTTGTCGCCAAATCCCCTCACATCACAAGAAATCTCCCAAGAAACGCAAATAATCGCTCTTAGACTGAGACTCTCGGGGAATCGATAGCAGGAGGAGACTCCCAGCACCGCGGGAGACGAAATTCTTGCAAGAAAGAAAGTGGGACAAACCCCTAGAATCCACGCTGCAGCAAGCGATGCAGTGGGCCACTTGCTCTCTAAGACAACGCGCTACTCCATCGCCATCGCCATCGCGAATTGGAAGCTCCACACAAGAAAGGAGGAGAGCGAGAGAGAGAGAGAGAGAGAGAGAGAGAGAAGAGAGGCTCCCTCCAAGCTCAAACGCAAATGCGGCAAATGATCAAACAAATGGGCCTCTTTTAAAAAACTGGGGCTGCCCACGTCGCGGGTTCGAACCCCGGCGGAGCCGTTATTCCTCGCAGCATTTCGTCATCTTCAAGGACCAAAGAAAAATGCTTTGTGTTTCATCCCAAGTGACAAACCTGCCATTTCCTTTTAACACTTTTTCTTTGCTTCGCCACCTTTTTTTTTGCCCTAATGTTTACGAATGCGAAGGTCGCATTCGCGAACTTTAAATGCCTAACCATGTTGCCGGATTTTATATGGTGGCTTCACATGTGGAGGTTGGGTTTGGGAGAATTAGTATTCAAATGCATGGATGTGAGACGTTTCGTGGATTTTTATAGAGTTTTACTAAGGGAGATAGATCTCCACCGCGTCACGGGCAAAACATCCCTTCTAGGTTATCAAAGAAGTTGGTAGGGTTTGCTCACAAGCCAATGGATGGAGACCCACTCCCATACAACCAAGCTTGGTTAGGACAAACCAGCAAAGATTTCTACTGTGCACGCAATTGACAAGCAGCACAAAGGGTTAGAAATGTATCCCTTCAAAAAAGGGGGGAAGCATGATGTACAACAATGTGTGCTTGCTTGCATTGCACAAATTGTCCCCCACCCAATGCTCACAGATTTGATGAGAGCTCTACATTAGCCCTCTCAATGTCACCATCCTTGGAGCTCATAGATCTTGGAGCTCCCAATTCCTGGACCACACCACCTCCTTTTTCTCTCCTTCTTCCTTCCTTCTTCCTTCCTTCTTTTCTCCAGAGCTGGAATTTTAGATTCTGGCCAAGTCCGGCCTCCGGTTCGATCCTCTCATCTATTTTATTATACAGAAGAACAAAAATAGATACAACAAAAAGAAAAGAAATAAAACTGTTTGCTAGTCCAGCATTTACAAGCATTGGAAGTCTCCATTCTCCAATGCTATAAACAAATAGACAGTATCTATCCAACCAAGGCCACCACAAGATGCCAGCCTCCAAGGAAAAGGCCAGGTAAGTAAGGCGAGGTAATAATCATTAGCATTGTTTGTGCGTTGAGATTTGCTATGTTGCTGGTTTGTTTTTACCTTTTGTCGCCCCCCAGGTCAATCCTTTTTGTTGTCAGAGATAAAACAAGGGAAGGGAGGCTCTGGAATTCCGAGAAGATGCCTTTAAGGCATGGAAGATTATGCGGAGAATCTTGGGTAGTCCGCTTCCTTTTTCTTCTCTTGTATTTCTACACTTCGCATCATTTTTTCTCTTTCATTGATTCATGACAATTTAAGTCTCATACTTGGTATAGAACATCTTGGCACAATTAGTTTTGATCTTACATTTTGCCTTGCGTCGATAAAAACCCGGACAAAACCTGGAAGTAAGTTACATCATGAGAGACTGGAGTGTTTGATCCACAAAACTCACATCACCAGCGGTGCTCTCGATCTTGAAGGAAGCAATCTCGTCGGCTCTAGTTTTTCCGACGTTGATTATGGCGATGGGAGAGCCTTGCTTATGAGCGGCACTGTGAACAGAGAGAAACGATTCACACAACTCAGGAAAAGGCTCCCACTTACCTCACAAGACGAAAGGCCGATAAAACCATTACAGACGAGCCAACGATGAGTAAAGCATCCGACTCTTGAACCATGCTTGCAGCAGCTCGAGCTCGATCTAAAGGAACGTTATCTCCGAAGAAAACCACCTGAGAAACAAAGCAACCGCGAATTAACCGAGAATGTCCTGGAGACGAACTAGTGTTTTCATTTTATCCAGGAGACACTCGAAGAACTTACGTGAGGCTTCAAGTTTCCACCACAGGCCTGGCATGCCGGGATCTGGAAATCATCTCTGGAGAAGACGCTGTCGTCGATTTCTATGTCGCCATCCGGTCGCTGCTGCATTCCAAAGCTCGCATCCGACCCGACGGCTCCACCGCTTTCCACAATCTCCACGGCCGCTGCCCACTTGGTAGAAGCACGACAAAGTTATAAGCGTATGGATCAAGAACAAAAGAATGCATACCTCCAAGTTGAGAAGTTTCAAGCGGTCCTGGAAAGTTTGTCTGGGACTTAAATTGCCGCAGCTCAGGCACACGACTTGGTGCGTTGTTCCGTGCAGCTCGATGGGATTGCTCCCGGCTTTGTGATGCAATCTATGACGAAAAACGAGAAAAAACAGTGGAAGATGGTCGATCGATGGAGAAATCTCATGAACGTTTTGGATCAACCTGTCAACGTTTTGCGTGATCATCCCCGTGGTTCGTGCGTCGTCTCCCTCGAGCTTTGCGAGAGCAATGTGACTTGGACCTGGTTGAGTTTGAGAAAATCGTCTCCAGCCAATGTAGCTGCGAGCCCAGTACCGTCTCCTGCTATAAGCGGACTTAAGAAATTCCTGGTAGAAGAAAAAAGAGAGAAGAAAATTCTTCAAGGAAAAACGTTTGGTTCGTTTATTTCTCTTTTACCTGGTGAGTTATTGGCTTGAAACCTGTGCTATAAGCTCCTTGTGGACTGGCACCTTGAATACAGCAGCTATGAAAACCAAGAGATTTTTTTATTTTCTCTTTTTACCCTCTATAGTCTGGAATTCCAGACTCGGTGCTCACACCGGCGCCAGTTATCACGGCCAGCTTCTTGCTGGATTTGAAAGAACGCACCAAAAAATCTAAGATCGAAAGAATAAGAGAAATTCAGTTACCTGTTTTGTAAGAAGTTGGAAAGGAGTTCATAGTCCCGGGAAGTGGGAGGAGCAGAGTGTGGGATGAGATTTCTATCGCCTGGAGTTTTAAATCTCACCACCTCGATTCGGGTAGACAAGCATCTGGATTTGAATGGAAGCCAAAGCCTCGATGGAAAATCTGACAAGTAAAGCTCGAATTTTGCTTGCTGAAATCGAATGGTTTACCTTGTCTTGGCAATTGGAACCTTGTTGCCTGTGGCGCAACGAATAATAAGAAGAAGGAAAACGTAAGACTTACCGGCGCCATCGCCCAAAAGCGTTGCATCCCTAGGGCTGGGAGTATCAATTGGAAAAATTGTCGTACACTCTTAAGTAAATATGCAAAAAAGTATATTGTGATAATGTTGTTTACTTTTTGATGAGCATTTTAAAAATAAATAAGTCTTAAAGTTTTTATGTATCTAAATAAATTTTCTAAGTACAATAAAAAACAGTGAAGGTGAAACCTTACTTTATAATCTTATAAAATATAAAATTATTCAAAATTTTCTCTTAATATAAGCTTATATAGTATTTTTGAGTATGATTTTAAATATAAACTTCTTCTATTGAAAAGATTTTTAACAGCTATAAACATAAATTATAATTATATACAAAAGAAAATACATTTAATCATATAGTTTAATATAAATCTTACTTCCTAAAACTCACATTATTATTTTAAGCAATGTATTATAAGTGCAGCCCAAAAAAGAAGAGAGCTCGATGGGACAGAAATAATAGTTTTCCTGATTTGTTAATGGGAAATTAAAATAAGAAATTAAATAGAGATTAACATTTATATTCCCTATGGTATACATACTCATTAAAGATTTGTAGTTTTTTTTTTTTGAAGGAAAAAGCTATATTAAATATTTTAAACAATCTACTATTTAATACAACCACACTTTTAAGAAATTTGGTAATTCATTATCAAAACTGTAGATTAATGTACTAAGTAGCTGAAAACATTCTATTTATTATTTACAAAAGAGCTTTTTTATTTTTCCTAGATAAATTAACAAAAGTGCAAAGAATTAAATGCTAGTGACATGAAGTATATTAATAAGCTTTAAAAATAATTCATAAAGCTAAATTTATAAGATAGCAATATATCTGTACATGAAAATATTTGATATTTTATTTGCACTCTACATAAAAATCTTTTAATGAGATATATCCACTTATAATCATGAATTTGGATGTAAAGTGCATAAATTCTATCTCAAATACTTGTATATTGTGTCACAGAACAATTATATTTTGAAAAGTATTAGTCATTTCACCAAATATTACCAAAAACTGACAAAAGAAAAGAAAAAAGAAAATAACTACTATAAAGATGGTTTTTAATGTCCAAAATTAATGTTATATACATCTTGGTGTGCATATTATGTACTATATTAAAAAATAAACTGTCTGGCTCTCTCGAAAATCTCCCAGACGTCATTGCTTGCTTCAAATAATCACCCCTTTTTTTGGCATGTTGTGGCTGGAAAACAAACGCACCTTAGGCAGACAACTGCATGAATAAAAGTCATCTAGATCATTGTCTCTAGGATCCTTGCTTGGTACTAGAATTAAAGGTCAAACTTAAAAGTCCCTTCAGAGCACATTAAGTGGAATTCTAAAGGGAGAACCTATTCATGTACATTGACTGCTCGTTTGCCACCTTAAGTGAAAATCCAAAACCATGAACAAAAGATCATAGGAAAAGCAGGTTCCATTCATTTATATTTTCCATGTGCTGTAAATTAGTATATGTATATATGTAACCTGTTTTAAATCTTGTGGTACCCATCTAAACATAAGATCCCAACTCAGTATATGAAAAGTTGGTGAACTCGCACTACGTTTCTCCTTACTTTAGCTACCAACAAGATTAAGCACTGCTTTTATATGAGAGAATTCTGCGCAGATACATAAAAGTTTTGTGAGAGTGTACCAGCGCCCATCTTGAAGCAGGATGGATGCAAAATTGCAGTCTGAACTATCCATGCCTATTATTCTATCCTTTTCCGATTATTCGTAAGATCTCTGGTGTCGCATGCGAGACGTGGATTTGGCATCGCAGCTCCATGCATGTAATTTAATTGGGATGACAATGGTGGCGAGGAGAGTGTCTGTCTCCCCGTTCCAGTCCATGTCTTGCGTGCGAAACTCCGTGTAGGCAGACCGGGCAGAGTGGAATTTTCGTTTGGCCGCATCACCCAAGATGGATATGCCTCGAATGCAAACTCCTCCTGAATCATCCACAACCACAAAAGCAATGGGCACTGTTTATCTGAAGAACAGGGGGACAAGAGTGTGAAAGGCATCCATTGCATTGGCCTCCAGTTGGGCACCCAATAGACCCCAAAAATATGCAAGCAGACAACTAGGTGCTTGAACCAGAGCTATCTAAGCGGACCTCGTCCTTGGATGAAATAGCATAATATCCTTAAAGCCAGATTCTCCCACTTATAAACTCTTTGTTGTTTGAGATCATGTCGCTCCTTCCCACTTTTCTTGATTCGAACCAATCTGTTCAAGGTTGACATGTAAGAGAATTTGAATTTGAATTTGAATTTGATCTAGGAATTATAAATAAGCCGCCATAGCTCAATAAAATTTACAAAGGGTAACAAATACAGTTACAGCGCTTTACAAAATAGCTTTCTACCAGTCGCCGCCACCGAAGTCTCCACCACCAAAATCCCCACCACCATAGTCCCCACCACCATAGTCCCCACCATAGCCTCCATCGTAGTGAGCATCGTTAATCATATCTCCAACAAGTAAACCCCCCAGTAGCCCCGCGCCCAAACCGAGCCCAGCCCCGCCCATACCCATACCACCCCCGCCAAACCGGTTCCTTCTCGGGGGCATCATTGGCGGCATAACCGGGGCGCCGTACGCCGGCGGGTAGTACGGCTGCTGCTGCTGCTGGTACATTCCTTGCTGCTGGGGTGGATATCCCGCCGCCGGGGGATATGCCTGGGGACATGCCGAGGATGGCCCTTGCCCCTGTGGGTTGTAAGGGTAGGCCGTGGGCGCCGGCTGCTGTGTTCTTGACGAATTCCCCTGGAATTTCTCTCCGACCTTGACAGAGACGTGGATCGTGCCTTGCAATCGCCCCGATGGGCGCCGGACCTTGAAGGAGAGGGGCGCATCGCCGGAGCCCTTGGCGGAGATCTCCTGGAGGGGGATGTTGGCGCGCCCCACGATCGTGCTCTCGAGAAATCCCCTGTGGTAAATCTCCAGGACCAGGAACGCGCCCGGCTGCTGGAGCAATTGATCCTCCACCGACAGCATCAGCTTCTCGTTCCAGCGAGGGTTCTTACCCGGCAGCTGCGACAGATTTGTGGACGCCTTGCGCGACGGATCCACCCACGCCACCACGTACGTTTGCATCTTGCCGACGAGCTTCACATCCTTGAGATCCTCCGCCGAGATGGGCGTCACTTCGAGCATCCGGAGCTCCGTCGTCATCGCGAAATCGATGGATTCTTCACCCTCCAAGCTATTTCTTTAAAGTCCCCAAAACCGCCATGGAGCACGCGTGACCGTCGATTTCGTGGAACCGTGAGAATTTGACACGTCAGACACTTGCGGACACGGATCGATACGCGGTGGCAGCATTTCACATGTCATTCATTCGTAGCGGTTCGATTCCTGATATTGACATTTCAAAGATCGTGGGATAGCCCATTTTGGAGCAATTCATTCTTTTAGCGGTTCGATTCCTGGCACTGATATTTTAAAAGCCCTAATTTTGGACATAAACACGACATTTCTTCCCTGTACAACGAAAGCAACCCAAGAGCAAAGGAACAACGCGGCCTTGTCGCAATCGCGAGAGAGATTCCCCAAATTCGCTATCGATTGATCGATCGCTGGCACCGATCAGAAACAGATTGGACATCTCACGAGACCGTTTTCATTGCAATCCCAGCAGCGCACGATCGCCTGCCCGCTACCATCGCCATCGCCATCGCCCACCAGGAGCTTGCAGCTCCCGCCACACTCGACGCACGGGATGAATCGCGCGCCGCCGCACCCCTCGCAAGATCTCTTGACCCTCTCCTTGGGGATCCCTTCCAGGAGCTCGCGCAGGACTCCGCTCTCGTTGAGCGCCATCACCTCCTCGCCGCCACCGATGTGGCGCCCCTTGATGAACAGGCGAGGCACCGGCGCGGCGCCCACCAGATCGCGCAGCTCGCGCCGGAACTCGGCGTGCATCGCCACGTCCCGCTCGTCGATCCGCGCGAAATTCACCTCCAGGATCGTCCTCACCGCCCGGCACAGCTCGTGGGTCTTGCGGATCCCCTGGAGGCTCGTCACGTAGAGCACCACGCGATTCTCCCCGCCCGGAGGGCACTTGCGATCGAATCGCTCCAGGAGCTCTTCCTCCCGCCGCTGCTTGAAATCGCGGAGATGGGAGAGATCACGATGGCGATCCGCGAAGTTGGTCTTGTCTCGCAAGCAATTGCCACCGCCACTACCACTGCTCTTGGCGACGATCGCCTCCAATCTCTCCATCTTTCTCGGCCCGACGATGTACCAATCTTCCAGCGACGATGGGGGCGAAGAGCCCGCGATCTCTCCCTTGCTTTGCCAGTCCTCCACGCTCCTGGGCGATTCCTTGTCGCCCTCCGCAAGCCAGGCACCGTAGAAGAGCCCCTTCTTCACGCCTGGCGAGAGCACGCTTGGCGAGAGCAGCGGCGGCGACCTTCCAATCTTCTCGCCGGATTTGCGGAGGAGGCTCGCGTTGGGCGATTTCTCCTCCAGCACCAGCGGCAATCCCGCGACAAGCCCCTGGAATTCGCTCGATCGCGACAGGGAGGAGTGTGGCAGCGACACCGATTTGCTGTAAGTCCGAGCTCTCTTCCGGGGCTTGGCGATGGTGCTCGAGCACAGCGCCGTCTCGTCCACAATCTCCCACGAATCGCTTTCCCGGACCCTGGGCTTGCTGGGATTGATCACCTCCCCCGGATCCTCTACTCCCTCTTCTTCCTCCTCGATTTCTTGCGAGAAATCGGCCGATCTCTCGTAGCGATGCAAGGCGGCGCCATAGCTGGACTGGCGATGATCGGAGGAGCAATTGGAGAAGGACATGGACGACACGGGCGGCATCGACCAGCTGCGCGACAGGCTCCTCACCAGCGGGAGATTCCAGCCTTGATCCGCCCTAGCAGCGCTGCCATTCTTGGAGGAACTGCAGCCCATGGGAGAAGAGATCTTCCACTCCCAGCTCCTGGATCTCAAGAACCCTAGAAAAAAGAAGTGGATTTAGCTAGACAAGGAAGGGCGAGCTTACCTCTGGCAGTGGCAGCGCCGAGATGGATCGCTCAGCGGCCATGGTCTGAGCGCCGGGGTGCGCGATTTCTCGCCGCGATCTTCGCAATGTGGATCTTGATCGATCCTTGGTGATCCACAAGAACACGCAAGGAAAGGAAAAAGATGCCCACTTGATCTCCACTAGCGCTGGCGGCCGGGGGCGAGCGACCGGGCTTAGCGCTTCCACACGTAGCGTGGCAAATGCATGGCGGCCAGGGGAACGTCTAGCCCCTGTTGTAGCGCTTCCAATGGCGCAAAAAGAAAGTGCGGACAAATAAAGGAAGCCAAAGAGCTGTTGCAAACCAGCGGCCAGGATTTCGTCTCTCTCCTCTGGCAATTCTAGGGCAATTTGGAATTCTCCCTGACACCATCACGGAGGAGCGATGGAATGGTGGTGTCGTGGCCTTGCCGGTAGATGCGAGGTTAATTCGTGCGCGTGGAATCTTAGATCCGTCCAATTTCTCGCAGGTGAGAGCGGACGATCCGTGAATCTTGTCTCTTTTGAGTCTCCTTTGGAGCTATAGAGCATTCATGGCTATGGAAAGCTTCATGAGACCTCTTCGTTGTCTCTTCTCTCTTCTAAGATTTACAAAAAAGCGCTAGACCTGGATCTCTTCCTTCTGAGCGTTGTGCGTTTGATCAATTGCAATTGAAGCTTGTCAACACGATCTGGAAGTAAAGAACCAGACTTAGTTCTGGGGATGTTCTACCAAGAGCTCTTCCTGTGATCTTATTCCGGGGATGGTTTAGGAGGAAGGGCATAAGTTGCAGCCTTACTATCGACTTCCTCCTTGTTGGGCCCGGCAACCACGTCGATTTGCCGTCCACCCCTGATGAACACGAACGTTGGAACGGACTTGACACCCCACTGCGCGGTCACGTCCTGCGATTCACTCCAAGAAAACCCACAAGAAATCCAGCGTGAGTTCTTCGCCGCGCTTGATCGAGATCAAGATCTTGGTTCTTACCGGGAGCATGTCGACGTCGATCCTCACGAAGTACATCCCCGGGTGCTTCTTCGAGATCTCGTCGAATTGCGGATTGATCTCCTTGCACTTGTTACACCAGGACGCCACGAAGCTCACGACCATCTGGGAGAGAGGCAGCGCAATGGAGAAGAAGCAAAGAAAAGAGAGGCATGGCGAGAGCGCGATGGGCGAAGCAAACCTTACAGGCTTGTAAATGTCGATGGATCGCCTGAGCTTGATGCGCCAGTCCTCGCCCGTGTCCGCATTCTCCACCGCCACCGGCAGATCCAGCGCCGGCGCGGCGTCTTTTCCCTTCTTCATCGCGTCCTCAAGGGTTTAGGGCAAGAAAAGGCGCGAAACGTCACAATAGATAGTATGGGCTTGAGACCTGTAACATGTACCAGCGCAGCTGGTGTAGTGGTATCATAGTACCCTCCCACGGTACTGACCGGGGTTCGATTCCCCGGCTGCGCATTTTTTAGAAAATGCTCTTTTTTCATTCAAATTTTCCATTTTTTTTGCCCAAAGTGAAGCTCCAACTTTGAAGGCTGCGACACCCTGCTTGTAATAAAAACAAGAGTAATTCTATCATTCATGGTCGATGGTTTTTCAAGAAAAAGGAGTGAAGTCCAAGAAGTACATTCAACGCCTTCTTCTCTTTCTCGTCCGCCTACGAGAACGGCGGGTCGATAGTCGGGAACGGCTGCGGGACGACGATTTGGATCTCCTTGTCGCAGAAAAGAAAGTCTTTTTCTTGCGCTTGAACCTGTACCTGCCCCGCACTCGCTCCACGCGCCCGCCCTGAGCAAGCCCAAACATCGTCCGGCAGATGACGAACTTGAACTTGGGCGGCAGCTTGGGTCCAAACTTTCGCCTCACCCGCCTCGCAACCCCGCCGGGCGTGCAACCCTTCTTGGATTTGAGCGCCATCACCGTCTCCCTCATCACCTGCGCCTCCGCCAACTTTCCTCCTCCTACTCGCCTCCTCGCCATCTCTTCGCTGCTCCAATCTCTCGAAGAACAACGGTTCGCAGGTTTTTGAAAAAAATCGAATATACTTTGGTTTTATCCTCTATATTTCAGTTTTTTCAAAGATGGCATATATATTGAAAGTACGTCTTTCCGTTTTCGCGTTTCTAGCATGTGTGTCTTTGTAGCATTCACCTTTAATATCGGGATAAGATCTATGTCTGTTGTTATTGTTTATAAAATTTTTGACTGTATGTATGTCTGTACATTTTGGAAAAGGGGATGGAGGAACACTGGCTCACTCCATCGCAGGAAGGACGATCCAAAGTGTGGAAAAAAGGAGACAAGAAAAATCCCAGGGATCATCACCGCTGCTTCTTTCTGTTGCTGAAGAACAAGCTGAGAAGTGCCACCGCTCGCGCTCCAATGCCGTATGCGATGAGCACGGCCACGCAGAGGTTGAAGTGATTGAGGTCGTACCCTGATCTCGCCAGAGCTCCGCATCGAGTTATCAGCCATACTCCAGAGTACCTGATGTTTTCGCACGGGTTAAATCCAAAGATACTTGAACTCTCCAATCGTACCTTTGTGCGTTTGCAACAACGTACGCCTCGAGCGCCCACCGGGCATAGCTGCCTTGGATGAGAACTTTAAGGATTCCAGTTGCGCCTGTTCTTGTGGCTACCAGCGTTGATACAACTGGGAAGAACACGCAGCACTGCAGCAGAAAAGCGGTGTAAGCAAGCCGAGGAAGAAAAGGACATATACGGACTAGTAACTCTTACCAGTTGAGCTGTCGATGGTTGCATGAGAATCGCAAAGACGTATGCGATCCCAGTGATGCAGTAAATAAATGCCAAGGTGATGATGTAGTTGGAAATGAATGTTGACCTCGGGTTGCAGAAGAAATAAAACATGGATAGATAGACGAATGGCTTGACGACTGTGTTGAAGTGATCCACGGTATCCTTGGCAAGGAAAAACGCTACCCGGTTTATCCCGGAAGCACTCTCCCGCCAGAACTGGAGTTTATCGGCGGAGAACGTTCTAAGAGCTGATATCATACACAGGAGAGCTGCGCACGGCACGAAAACAAAGCGTAAGTTGGAGACAAAACTTAAGCTTTCCAAGCACTTACAGAGAGCAATGATAGAATAAGGATATCCGTTTGCCCCTAGAGCTTGGTCTTTGGCGTCTGCGAGTAGCCCCACGCAAATACCGGCAAGAAACAAGATAATGTAATCTTGGACCAAAAGTCTAGCTTCTCGGAACCGCTGCTTGGATACTCTGATTACAGCAGAGAAAAAAAATTAAGTAACCGAATGAAACGAAAACCAACAGTGCTACAAACCTTCCCAAGATGAGGCTGAACTGCGAAAAGAAACCAGGTATCTTTCGACCTGTTATATCCGGAACCGAGAAGATAGCATGCCGAATTCCATCCCACCACACGACTACTGGCTCCTTCAGCTCTTGCCAAGCTTCCTCTCTGAAAGTTTTCGTCTGTTCCAGCTTCTTGCGAGAAACGATACTGAAGTCACTTTCAGCAACAGCGGCCATCTCTTTAAGTTCGTCAGGTATTGCATGCCCCTCGTGTTGCATCCAAATAATTGGGAGCATCGAAGGGTCAAACGTGGGGTTCCCTTCAGGCTTCACTACCCCTTCGAGAAGATCCATGTAGTGATCTGGAGGATTAATCCGTTCTGGAACAACAACCCCAAGAGATATGAAGTAGCTCTCAACATCGGCAACTGGCCCCAAGTAAGCGGTCCGACCACCTTTAGCCAAAAACATCACGTAGTCGAACATCATGAACAGTCCATAACTGCAAACAAAACAGTTAAATCCTTTGAATCGGAATCACGAAAGCAAATTCTGTACCTCGGTTGATGAAGAACCACCACCACATTGACTCCTAACATAGCTTCTCTTCGCAAAGCTTGTACCACCAACCGTGAGGATGTACTGTCCAATCCAGAAGTAGGCTCGTCGAGAATTAAAAGTGAAGGCTCCATGACCATCTCAAGTCCCACATTGACTCTTTTCCTTTGTCCTCCAGAGATTCCACGCTTTTCAACAGTGCCAACCAAGGAATCTCGAATCGGACCCAGCCCCAGTGAAGCAATAATTCTTTCGACTAGTAGAACTCGCTCACGTTTGGGCAAATCAACACTGAGCCTGCAACAAACTTAACAGTTAGACAAGAATAGCGACAACAAAAGAGACAAAGCAACGAACCTGTATTTCGAGCTAAAGACGAGATTCTCTTCCACCGTCAAACTTCCATGAACAATATCATCTTGAGGGACGAATCCAATGATTTTCCTGTACGATCGTATCGACCCCTGCTTCCCATTAATGTACATGTGCCCGGTGGTGTTACACTCACTTGCGGCTTTGCCAGCCACCGCATTTAAAAATGTTGTCTTCCCTGCTCCGGATGGTCCCATGATTGCCGTGATGTCTCCAGGCGTCAGCTTTCCAGTAACATTCGACAAAATCCTCTTCCCGGTTTTCTTGAGAACCATCGTAAGATTCTCAAATCGAAGTTCTATGAGTGGCCGCTTCCTGCGGCCGTCGGCTACCATGTTAGCGGTGGACTCTTTGATGAAGTCGGTTGCTTTCTCCTGCTCAATCTGCCTGAAAGCGTAGCCGAAAATCTGGCTCTCAGTATCGCTGCTCTTGTCCATGTGTACCCCGCCATGTTTAGCAGCGTACGCCATTGGAGGCATTGCTAGCTGTGGAGGATGAGTGCCCGTGGGACTTGCCTGCATTGCCACTACGTGTTCCTGGTCATGGGACTTGGAAAACCCCATAGGCGTCAGCTCCTGTATCTCTTCCGAACTTTTCACTCGCTTCCGAGAGAACGTTCTGCTGAACTTGGAACTGAATGTCTTGGCTCTCTTGGATACTTCTTTCATAACTTTCCAGCGCTCCATCGCAGAGACATGCTCTCGCGCTTGCCGTGCAGCTTTCTCACGAGCTTTGGACTTTCGTTTATCTCGAAAGTTCATGACTTGGTCCGAGCAACTGTAAACCAGAACCAGCAGCATGGCAAGGATAGTCTGCAGTTAAGTTGCCAAGAGTCAGAAAATCCTATCGGGACGAAAAAAGTTGCTTACTATAAACAATGCGCCATAGACGCGTAAATTTTGGCGGTCCGATCCCGTCTTGCAGGACGTAAACTTGTAACATCCTGAGGTACTAAAATCGTTAATGACAATCAAGGAAGGAAAAACACAACAAAAGAGTCAAACTTACGTTTTGGAGAAGTGGCGCCTTCCCTACAGTAGTTTCTGCGAAAAAACAACAAACATTAGATTCGAGTTGAAAACAACGTGGAGGGGTTACCCGCTTGTGCATGACTGCGTCGATACAGGTGAAGGACAATATTGACCCGGCTCACAGTATACTCCGGGAGAACTGGTTACATCGGCCCATCTATCCGCTCCTCCACACACGACATTAGGACTTCGACCATAACCATATCTATAGAACAGGGGAACGTGATAGATAAAGAACGTCGAAAGCATATCTTACGGATCACAGTTGCCGCTGGTCTCGTTGAAAATCGCTCTTGGACAATAAGCTCCCAACGGGCAAGCTGCGCAAAACCACGTTAAAACGTCTTCTCAAGTAACTAAACGAACGTACGAATCATGCAGCTGAGTCCTTGAGGACAAAAGAATCCATCGCAGCACGGCTGAGGGTTTAAGTTCCGAACCGGAATCTCGTCTGGGATTTCGGTTTGGGACACGCTACTGGCCCATCCAGCCTCGCACCCATCCGACCAATTCGAGACATTGCAGTTCAAGTTTTGTTCGACAGAGTGACCGGTGCTTTGGAGCGATTTAAAGTACAACTCAATCTCCGCCCTGCCGCAGAGCCGGGTCAAGAGACTCCCACCTGTAATAAAAGTAAAGTCAGGAATTCCATCCCAGGAAAGCAGGCATTTGCTTTACCGTTTGCGCAGTCTCTGATAAAGGAATCGTCTTTGTAGTCGAAAGCTAAATCTCTATCTTCGTTACTGCATCCATCCAAAGGAAAGTTAGAAGGATGGAAAGAAATGAGAGGGGAAAAATAAAAAGCGCCACTCACCCATTGACGATGCAAAAGCTGAACTTCGATGCCACTTCGTCTGTGAGCTGCTGTGTCCTATTTCTGAGAAGGGCTCTAGCTTGGAGCTCTGGTGAGAAGGGAGATCCAGGGTCGAAAGGCGGAGGAATCACAGACGGCAACGGTGGAGCCAAACCACCAAACTGCTGAGCTCTCGCCAATGCAAGCCATAGAAATATCACGAACGCTAGACCCTGAGCGATCTTTCTCCCCATATTCCACTCTTTCCCGCGATCCCGGCCCCTATTCTACCGCTTCCAGCTCCTAATCGATCAAGAATCCCGAAATCTCTGCCCGGCGCCTCCAAGAACACACCGTATTCGTGGATCTTGACCTGGAAAGCACTGGAACTATCGCGGTGAACTGCCGTGTCCGCCAAACAAGACGGGCATTGCGTTTACCTGTTCTTGCCACACGAATCGGTTGACTCGAGAGAGATTCCAGCGCCGTGGTGGCGCCGCAACGCCTGTTGACGGATTCCAGAAAGGGCTAGCCGCTATCGATAGGCGAGGCGCGGCCGATCCCTCCATCGCTTCCCTCCCTCACAGACGTGACAAAGAAAAATCATAAGAAAGAAAAGTATAGACTATTTCAAACGTGAGAGTGAGAGGCCGTCGGTCTCGGGAATCGAACCCAGGCCTCTGCGCTAAAGGCATTTTGGCTGATTATTCTTGTCGGAATCGGCGTGCCTGTTAGATTTTGTTCCCCTGCCACGTGGTTAACGATCCAGCAATCCCAGGCACCCAAATTCCGGGATGGAATTCGCTACCGTACAAGGCACTAGCATTTCCCAAGAAGTTGTCATGAGCTACTCGTGAAGGTGTCCAGGCCATCCTCGGCAATGAAAATCCTCCTCCCTCCAAAATCCCCGCTAGAAAAAAGAAACGCTTTTCTTTGCCGGATTCGCGTCTCTTCAACACTGTGCTTTGCGCAGCTGCGATAGAGATGTTATTATTAAAGGAAAAACCACCAGGCCGGACCTTATAGCTCTCTAGTTTTTCTTCGCAATTCGTTTAGCTCCTTTTCGATCTCGACGTCTGCGAATGCGTTGCTGCCAACGGGGGATCGCCCAGCCGGGAGCTCGCCAGCTTTCTGAATGAGTGAGACCAGTAGGAAAGCTTTAGATTAGACCCACGAAAATGTGAAAGAGAGAGAGTGCGAGAGACACATACCTTGGAAGTACCAAGCATGTCTTGCTTTAGCGCCGCGAGGTCGTCATCAACACTGTCGCTCTCCAGTAGAGCAAACTGTTTCAAGGACAATGACAATATCGCGTGAAAAAATTACTTAAGAAAGAAGAACCATTCTCTAAGCATACCTTTCCAGCGAGCTCGTCCGTGTTGAGCTCGTTCAATGAGTCGGCTTCTGCTTCCAGGGCGGTCACTGGAGAAGAGCGCGAGAAACAGTGATGATTGTCCACGTAGTTGAAGATTACCTTTCTCTTCCATTTTCTCAAAGGCTGCCAAAGCACTGCTCGTGTTGATGTTTCCCAGCATCTCATTGACCTTTTGCGACGTTCTGTTCACCGAATAGTTTAGCTGACTGTATCAATAATGGATGCGGCAAAACACACCTTGCAGATTGCGCTCTGGCTTTCAGAGTATCCTTTTTCGACCTGGCCTCTTGAATCTTGCTCTCGAGAAGCTGCACGTGTAACACAAACGCTTAAGCACGAAATTCACCGACAACAAAACACTGTACTCTAGTGCTGGATATCAACTTCTCCACGACGGACTTTTGTTGGTCAAGCTGCGTCCTCAGCGCCTTAGCATTTTCCTGCCGGACAGACAAATCATTGAAGCAAAAGCTCGAACGTGGCTAAAAGAAAAGCTATGAACCTCGTAATCTTTTCTCCTCTTCAAGGCTTCTCGGGCAAGAACTTCGTCTCCCTTTTCCAGTGCCAGTTTTGCTCTTTTATACCTACAAAATCAATAATTTAGCACCAGCTTAGAGAGAGTGAGAACATGTATACCAGCTTTGAGAGTTCTCTTCGGCCTGCCTATACTTGTTCTCTAGTTGTTTCTGAGATGCTAATACCTTCAAAGAAGTTATTGAAGATGTAAGTTGCGATTCAATAAAAACAAAAACTAGAAGGCTTCAAACCTGGGCAGATGCCTGACGCATTTTGATGAGATCCTCATTCATCTCGAGCACTGTCTGATCAAGCAGCTTTTCTGGATCCTCGGCAGCACTTACCGCAGCATTTACGTAAGACTTGGCTTGAAAAGAAAACTCATCAGCGTCTAGACAAAGCTAAAAAAACATTGGTTTTTCCATTGCATACCCGGACTACTCTAATAACTCGCTCAAAAATGTTCATTCGAGCCCCCATTGCCCCTTGTCCATCCCGGCTCGACGAAGCCACCACTGTTGCCAGCAGCGAAATTCCATTTCCTGGAGAAAATCAAGAAAATTTAGAGTGGAAGAATTTTTTTCTAATAAGCAAACAAACCTCCATTGAAAAATCTAGAGCGCGAAGATAAGCTTAGTTGCGAGCTGTGAAGAAACATTCCCCGGGACTGAACAGTGAGATTTCGCCTTGCCACAAGTGTCACCGGCGAGAATTGGCACTTGCATGACGCTCCAAAGCTCGATCCAGTCGCCTTGCCCCCGCACACAATCGGAGCTCCAATCGCGGCCATCGCGGACGCCAAATCCTAGTTTCTAGAGCCCCATTCTCTGCCCCATCGCCACATCCAAACCCTAACCCACCACAGCAGCGCTAATGGAGAATTCACCGCCTCGACCGCGCGAGACGAAGAAAGAGAGAAGTATCTAGGGCTATGGAGTAATTAGGGTTTATGAAACGCTCAAACCAGAGCCAGCCACGTGGAAGACCAGATAAGCAGCCGTGGCAGCCACGTCATATCCACGTGTCGGCCACATCAAAACCTCGCTATGGCGTTCTCCTCTTCGCTCCTCCCAGCTCCGCCATTTGCCGCCCGCACCGCCGCCCAATCGCCGCCTCCCCGGCGCCTCCACCGAGGGCGATCGATCTGCAATGCGTCACTGGAGGAGCCCAGCAGCCTGAGCTTCGCACTGGTGAGTGGCGGAGTGATAGCAGCGCTGGCGGCGACGCTGTCCCTGGCGGATCCCGAGCGGCGGAGGCAGCGGCAGGCGGCGGGCGTGGCTGGCGGGGACGAGAAGCTCGTCGTCAAGGACTACTTCAACACTGCCGGATTCGAGCGGTGGAAGCGCATCTATGGCGAGGCCGAGGACGTGAACTCCGTCCAGCTGGATATCCGCCAAGGCCACGCACAGACCGTGGAGAAGACCCTCTCGCTGCTCGCCCGAGATGGATCGATCCAAGGCCTTTCCTTCTGCGACGCTGGCTGTGGAACTGGAAGCCTGGCCATCCCTCTAGCTCTGCGAGGAGCCACCGTCTTCGCCAGTGACATATCCTCGTCCATGGTTGCCGAAGCCGAGAGACGAGCTCGAGAGGCGCTCAAGTCGGATCCAGCATTGCAGCTGCCAAAGTTTTCTGCCCAGGATCTCGAGAGCCTGAGTGGGAAGTACCACACCGTTGCCTGCCTCGACGTTCTCATCCACTATCCCCAGGACAAAGCCGACGGGATGATCCGCCACCTCGCGTCCCTGGCCGAGAGCCGGTTGATCATCAGCTTTGCGCCGAAGACGTGGTACTACTCCCTGCTCAAGCGAATCGGGGAGCTCTTTCCCGGGCCCTCGAAAGCTACCAGAGCTTACTTGCATGCCGAGGAGGACGTCGAGGCCGCCTTGAGAGCGGCTGGGTGGATCGTTCGTAACCGAGACATGACTGCCACCAGGTTCTACTTCTCGAGATTGTTGGAGGCGGTTCCTGTAGGATCTGCTTGAATGAATCTCACACTTGCAAGCGATTAGGCTGGAGATAAGTACAAACTTACTCGGAGACTTGGTACAAAGAAGAGGAAAAAAAAAACATTATTTTTCAGATATGAACATAAGATCACTCAACTTTCTTTGCGTCCTCGCATTTCAATGCTTTCAATTTACGGTACCCCTTGTCAGTCCCGAATATCCTGCAAAAACTCGGTCAGCCACGCCACCAAGAAGAATGCTACAGCTTACCAATCCATGTACGTGAAAGTCGATGCGTAGTTTCCGGATTTCGTGAAAAGCAGCCGATGATGATAATCGTGAAAGTCCGCTCTACGAGAAGATATAGGTATATCATTGACCATTCCGAAAAAAAGTAAACAAAAACAAAAGCTGGACCCGACATACCCTCCGTAGATTGGAAGAAATCTCGAAAGGCTCCACGGGAAGTCATAGCCGCAGTGAGCTTCAACCGTCTCGAGTACTCTTACGCTCATCCACAACCACAGCGTTATCAAATGCGGTCCCGTAATAGCGGGCCCAAAAATCGTCGCAAAACCGAGAAAGAGAATTTCTGCTGGATGAGCATACTCCGATGTCAAACCAAAGGGAGTGGCATATCTGTAAGCCCAGAAATGCACCATTGTCACGCTTGAAAGAGGAGAAACAATGTCACTTACTCGTGATGAACGCTGTGAACGTGCTTATAAAGCCATTTCGTGTGCAGGACCCGATGGCCCCAGTAGAAGATGAAGTCTTCGAGAATGAAGTACGAAACAATTTGGAAGAGAACGGTCTTCCTGCAAAACCAGCGTCCATCAAACCAGACTCGTCAACGAAACAAAACGTGGCTTACCATGAAGGAAAGGGCAATGTACTTCTGAAGCCCATGTACTTGAACGCTGGATAGGAAACAACCATGAGCGGCAGATTGACGCAGGTGTGGTACAACAACAAACGCAAGATGCACTTCTCCTGTGCTGCCGGTGTGTTCATCTTGCCCTGCTCGCTATCGTTAGAACAAGCTCTCATCGAAAAAGAAAGGAAAACAAAGAGAAAGAGTCCTCGTACCTGGATCTTATACTTCGTCATCCCCCACTTCTCCATCATAAGGTAGGGAATCCCGGACAGGAAAAAAACACTCTCATGAATGATAAAGCTGCCCAGTGATGCTAGCTGAAAATCACTGAAGTTATTGATCAAGTACTGCAATACACAGCGAAAGATAAATGGTTAGTTTCTAGCCGGAAGAACAAAACTCTCAAAAAACCAAGACCAAAAAAAGAAAAAGAGAAGATGTTCACGAGCAACAATCAAGTCAGCTGTGCAAGCATCGCGACTTGAAACGAAATCTCGCGAGTAATTCGATGTGCTGTGCCTCGGAACTGGATGCGCGGCATTAGAGGCAGCATGCATCCCGATTGTGAAATGAGGCACAGAGAAACGCGAAATATCTCCACAACAAGCAAGACCGACATACCAGCCACGCCGTTTCCAGCGCCGAAGCCATTCCTCCTCCGCCTCTCCAGCCCTCGCCCCTAATCTCCTCGCGCTTCGCTCGCCAGATCTTTCCTGCATTACAACATCACGATTCAGCGCATCCACCAGTGCCAGTCGATTGAATCTACATTGGCACAGCGGGGAGGAGCACGCTCGTCGCCGCTCTCGCCGCTCTCGCCGCTCAAAGCTTCCTCTACACCCTAAGATATAAAAGGTAAAACATAAAATTATAAAGGTCCTTTACACTGTTAGTTTAAAAAGCTTTCACGAGTGGAGATCAAGGATCAAACACCCGGGATTTACTTCCGACCATTTCAGTCCCTTTCGATTCATGTAAGCGATGATCTGGAACAAAAAAAATCCGAGTAGAACTTCGTTGCGATCAACTGGAAACAAGCAAACAAAAACTCACAGCTGGCTTTAACTTTGGCTTCCCGTTTGCTGCGTGATTGCCACTGCCAGTGATCACAGTGAGCGTGTGCACAGCTGTGGAGAAAGCAAGAACACACGACTATCAGCTCCAGATCAAACACGAGGATTGGAGGAAAAAGGACAAAAAGAAGATCTAGCTTACAAGTTATGGCTTGGAGAGCGTCCAAGTGGAGCTTAAACAAGCGCAGTGCTTCGTCTACGTGTTGCGCGTGTAAATCAATCGTTATGTTGTTGTTATAGCCATTGTTCCTGCATGGGTTTGGACCATTTAGTCGAGAGAAACTCGAAAGACTAGAAAGTGGATTACTTGGTACGAAAAATTCTTTTGCTTTCTCTGTCTCTCGCCTGCAAAGCCAGCTGCCTGTACTTCCGGCCCTGCAAAAGTGTGTAATAGAGAAAACAGTAAACGGAAAACCAGAAAATGGAAACAAAGGAAAAACGCTTGAGATGTTTTCTCAAAAACTTGGTTACCTTCTCTGAGAGATGACTTGCTAGGCTCCGGTGACCGCTTGAATAAGCTGCTGTAGCCTGGAAAACAAAGGTGATCCTATGCCATTTGCACAAGCATTGCATGATACAGACCTTTAAGAAGCAATCCTTCATTATCGACCAGTATTCGACTGCGCTTGCGTGCTCAGGCTCCAAGTTGTCCCGTCCATCTTCGATAAATCAATGTGTCAGTCCTCTCACGAAACACAACGAGGCGTACCCTTTGAAATTTTGTCATCGATCTTCGACGGCCTTCTTGGTGCCTTGGGCTTGACTTTAACTTCTGTCCAATCGGATTCTTTCTCGATCCGTGGATCGGGAGGCTTGAAAACTTTTTTGAGGAACTCTTGAGCGACGTCTTTCATTGGCGTCAGGCCCGCCTCGGACAGATAGTTCATTGCCGCGCTGCATAATACATTTTGTTTTTTCTTGCAAAAGTTCTTCACATACAAGTACCTGAAATCATTCTCGGTTGTTTTTAAGACCTCTTCGAGTGTCCTCGGGTCAACACTCGGGAAAGAGGATTTTAGTTTTTCTAAAACCTCCTGCAGAAAAGAAAATGTAATGACAACATTAAGAACAAAAATGCCAATACCGAGCATAAAACTTCAGTCGCAAGCACTTGGTAAGACGACTCCTTTCCTTTCGTGAGCTGGTTTACATCGAGCAACTTGTTTGTGGCCAATTCCAATTGACTTCCGTGCTCCTGGAGAAAAACACTAGGTCCGTGACCAACAACAAACTTCACAAAAAACCTTGTCAATTCTTTCAACGTCCTCCGGATACTTGTCAGGAAAGGCTTCCCAGAGAGCAAGAACATCGTTTCGTTCTTCCACCTCCCGCTCGTCGGCGGTAGCCTCGCTCGACATAATCGCCAGTAGAGAATCCAGACTCTGCCAGTAACTGTAACACGTAAATGCAAGGATAAATCATGCAAACGCAGGCATACAAAAGAGAGAAGAACTAAACAATCATATGAATCTTAGTCACGTACTCTCTGTGGATCGCCCTCACACTCGTCTGGAACAAGACAAGAAAGAATTAAAATCAAATCTAGCAGTAACATAAAAATAATCGTACTTACATATAACATCGCGAACAACGTCCATTCCAAGGTCGCCACTTAGCATAGAAAGAAGAAATTCTTCAAGCTCTTTGTTGTCGTTCTTTGGAACTTCTTCTTCCTTTGGCGAGAGCTCTTCAAGCCCATTCATCATCTTCTTCTTCTGATGCTTCCTCTTGCGTTTCTTTCCAGTGTCGGAGCAAGCTCGGACACTGGAAACGGTGCCCGAGCGGGCCACAGTAGTCCATTTCCTGGAACGAGACCTTCCTAGCAAATTTCTAGGAGAACCTTCGTGATCGTCCTCGCAAACCTGGCCCGAGCTCAAAACCTCGTCGCATTTCCCGTGAGCTACTGGAGATGCCCCATTTCCTTCGCTGCTACCTGAGATTTGCTGCTCCAGCGCCCCCGCGGCGGCATTCACGCTTCCATCCGCGGCATTGTACGCCGCGACGATCGATTTGAGCGACAGCTGAGGGAACGCCTCTCGCAGAAGGCGCAGCTCCAAAAATTCGTCCTCGATCACCGCCATGGCAAAAACCCTAACGCGGAATCTTTCAAGTGGCCGTCCATTTCTATACAGTATCTCTCAAAAAACGCCGTCCTCTTTCATCTTTGCGTTGCCGGTCGGGCCCGAGGGAAAGTAGTCGAATCTTTCGAAGCTCCCTGGTGGGGACGAAGATGGCGACGCTACTCTCGGGCGAGCTTTGCCTTGGATCGTGGCTGGGCTCAAGGAGCCTTCGACTGGAAGCAAAAAACTTGTAAGAGTTTAAACTCTTAAGTCGTAGCGAAGCGAAAGAAGAAAGAGTTCTCGAGAGCTTACTTTGCCACTCCCAGACGATCCGTGACTCGCCCCTGACGAGCTTTGGATGCTGGTCAATCCGTGAATCCTCGAGGACCAGGCGCTCCACCTGCGAGCGAAGTTTGATAAGAGAGATGGTCTTTATTTTTTTCGTTTTGTCTACCTCGAGCCACAACGCACGGTTCCTTCTCTCGCTTGGCCGGAGGAGATGGTCACGGAGCCGAGAAGCCACAATCCAACGTTCGCTTCCCGGACTGCTGCCAAGCTGCGTTGCTTTTGCCTCCAATGCTTCGCAAACCTGGTAAGACTTGTAGATTGGAAACAACTACGGAGAAAAAGTTCAGTTACCTGTGCATAGAGCTCTTCCGCTCGGTTTAGTCTCGATTTGTATCGCCAATACTTGATGACAAAGGAAGCCGATACGTAAAGCTAGAAACGAGAACGGATGTCTTGAGGAGGAAAGTCTTATAAAAAAGCGTAGACAATACCACTGGAATCGTCATTAGCAGCTTCAAAAAGTTCTTAAACAACCATTCTCGAAGTCTGCATCCAAATGGCTTGTAGGCATCCACAAGATCAGCTGGACAGCAGAAAACACGCACGCTGCAAAATTACAAGGATTTGAGAATTAAACTCTCTTGACAATGATCACGCACTTACTGACCCGTGAATCTTCGTCTCCAGCCAATGCGAGGCAATTCCAATGGCTTTTTCCTGAACTAGCCACAGCGTCGGACCTTGCAGCTTCGATGTTACCGGTGTCATAGCATCTAGAATTTCACCTTCCGAGAGCTGCAAGAGAAACGAGATGAAAGAAAAAGCCATGGAAGAACGAATGCGAGGAGCAAACAAAGCTAAAAATCACGAACGAACATACCCATACAGTAGTTCCTCCATCACAGACTGATTGTCCATTGATGGTACAAATATGATCCATCATCAGCCCAGCCTGGCTCGAAAGAAAAAGAGGAAACTTTACTGGAAAAGAGCAGGAGAACTTACGAGCTTTTCAGCGCTCTTCTCGATCAAGCTATCCTCCACGCAATGCTTCCCACGCCGCCTAAATCCCGTGAGACATTCCAGCTGCCCGTACTTGCAAATCCCATGCTCGGGACACGGGATGCAATTCTCTGCGCAAATCCGATCATTGAGGATCACATTACTCTCAGCCTTACCGAAAGACCCGCTGTTGGTGTCGCAGAAGGGGAGATACAAGCCGCCGATCCAGCTGCAAATCTTGAGTGTGGAGGCAGCGACAATGACGGCCACTACCAGAATCGCGATTAGCTGCCATGCCTGCTCCGCCGATGGCAGCGATCGCTCGTCCAAAGGCTGTGGAACCCTAGCTCTCCTCTTGGCGGGAGATTTCGACGCCATGAAAGAAAAACCCTAAACTTCATCAAAAGAACTTTGAGTCCGCATTAAAAATAAAGCATTCGGCTTTATAAATATTAGGGCTTAGGTTAATTTTAGGGTAACTACGTCGGTTTCCGGCACTAGTGGCGATGGGCAGAGACCGTGGCAAAAATTGCGCCAAGTCTCAAAGGAAGGAGATTGAGCATGCACTTACTGAGACGAAGTTGCAAAAGCAACGACGAGATGAGGAATTATCGAAAATCGCTCATATCATTCTTGTTGTTCTAAGGTAATGACGACGCAAATTTGATCAGAGGGCCTCTTTTCATAATGTTCCTTCTTGTAGAGACTATGAGCGTCCTAGACAGTTTGAGTATTCGAAACAAGCTTATGCCTTGAAAGCAATATGGAATTATCTTTCCGATGATTGTGAGATCAGCCAGGAAATACAGGACGGTTTGTTCCTCCTATTCCAGAAGCTGCGTTTCCCCGAAGGCCAACAGAAGATCGACATGGAATTGGATAAGAAATCTCTGAAAGTAGCAACATCTGAGGCTTCACCAAAGGTGATGCCATTTTCTTGGGACCAAAGCTCACATTATTATGCAGGTCTTCTGTAACATCCTTATGGATGGGTGGAGCTTATTCAGGCAAAAATTCGAGCACAAGCCTCTAGTGGTCTACCAAGCTGGAAAAAAGGTCCTGAACTCATGGACTAATCTAGAATTCACCAAGGGAATCCAGGCTATGAAACAGGATCTTCTGTGGAAGGTGTATTTGAGTATATGGTATCTACGTGTCATGTATGATTTAATCATTTATTTACTTGCAGAGAATTGTAGAACACGTAGAAAGCTCACGAGCAGCTGCTTCAAACAATGATCCAGGGGCTAATCAGGTTTGATGTGTCTTCCTTTTGATGATTAGAGTCTTAGATGTTGTATTTCAGGGAGAAGAAAGCTTAACATCTTAATGACAGTCACTGGGCTGGTCTATGACAGGTAGAAAGTTGATAGCTTTTGTAATTTCATCTTCCTAACACAAGATAACAATGTCTCACAGTATAGATTGGAGGTAACCATCAGTAGCAAATTATCTTTGCTCACAAACAATATTTACTTAGTATTTTAGTTTATAGATTATAAACAGCTAATGATCTTAAACATGCAAACATTTAATCAAGAACATTCCTCCTCACAGATTCTTTCACGCTCGATCATATTGCATGATGGCTTTAGAATTACGTGACGCATGAGCGGACGATTAGTGAGTGATAAGTAGGGTAGGTCCTGTAAGTCAACAGTTAATTTATCGACTACAAGGCGCACACAAGCCTCACCTTGTCCGAGATGCTCATGGAAGCCATTTTATGACTTGCAAGCATTTCTTTCACCAAACATACGAGCCGTTCTTTTACTGCACCTGTATACATTTTCCCACCGCCATACTCCTGCAACCAAATTGGTTACTTGTATGTGGCGATCAAACATGGAAGCTCTTACCCCTTTGATATTTGCCCACTCGTTATCGCTCTCCAGGAAGTAACTCAGATACTTGTAAGGAACATCAATCTGGAACAGAAAAGCTTGCAGCTGAGTCCAAAAGTTCAATCACAATCACCTCCAAATTGGCCCCATGTTTCTCATGCTCCTCTTTCGTGCTCCCTCCACCACTAAAGGCATGCTTGCGTATCTATGAGGAAGGATAGACAACTATCAACCTTGACAGGAGCAAGAGAAATACCTTCATTTCAATCATAGGTGGATCGTCCGACAGAAACAACAATTGGCAGTTGCTGTTGAAAGTTTGCGCATTGCCTAGTTCGCCCTGCCACACTACTTAAATGAGAACAGATTGCTAAACTTTTTGTTTCACCTGTAGCATCGGGAGAGGTTTGAGTTGGACAACCGCCGGCTCTGGTAAATTAGCACGTTCAAAAGCAGCTTTGGGAAATCTATCCTGCAGAATTCAGGTTTTCAATCAAGGCACTCGAACGTCCGTAGCTTACTACCTGGCCAATTCTAAGACACTTCGTAAATGTCTCGCCGAGGAGAGTCTGGGGAAGGCGACAGAAAACAGCCTGCCGGAAACTTCCGTCAAGAGCGAAAAAGAATCACGAAAGAGAGAACCTCAACAAGTTCTTGCTGAAGAGCTGCCACGTCCGTCTTCGCTCCACGTACAGCCTGAATATTTTTTCCATACAACGCTTAGAAGTCCCCTTTCAAAGCCAGTATACCTCATTTATCAGCATGCACTTTGAAACATCGACAACACTCCTGTAGATTCTGAGAGGGTAAAGGTATGAGAGTGTGAAGGTCAGCTGACAAAAGCACTGTTTTTACCTGCTTGAAATGGAAGGAGGAGTGAGAATAAAAGTCCGCGACTTGTCCAAGCCGCAGGCCAAAACACTCCTGGCCTGTGCATCAAAACACGCCTTTCTCTTGGCTGGATCGATACTAAGCTTTGAATCCGTGCAGGAAAGGATAATGACAACAGGTGCCGCAGTTGCGGTTTGCACATCCCTAGGCAAGAAAAACATAAAACAGTTTGCAAGAAATCCTGGGTTGTGCTTACTTTACAAACTGAAGAGAAGCCAAATGACGCAGATCTAATTGTTCCGACACATCAAAGGTTCCCGCAAACAGATAAAATCTCTCCTTTCCTTCCAAGAGCTCCGCCAATACACTGCAACACAAGGATGAGCGCCGCAACACAGACGGCTACATACAGACCTGCTGTTTTCCAGGAGACCACGAGTGAGATACCGTGCCGCCATGCCTCAAAAACCCTACTAAAGCCCTTAAATAAATGTTTGCATGCCCGGTTTCCTTTAAAGGCTTTAAGGGATTCTTGATGGGGAATTATTCCATGGAATGGCATCTAAAGTGGGACTTTTTTTTATTTTGGTTCAGTGAATATATCTAAAATCGTGGACGCCACGACCTCCATGAATGGAGCTTCAAGGATACTTGGTTCTATTGCGCCTCTAGCAGCGGCGCCATTCAGCTCCTCGCGCCAACAAGGTACTACACATTTCCAAAGATCCCACACCATGGAGCTGCATGAGGAGCGCGAGCTCCATCGCAATCTCCTCAGCATGCCACACAGGCCAGCATTCACAGCGTCGTACTGCTTCTTGGAGCCGATCTGTGCCACTCTTCCCTCAAATCCAGATCCCTCGCTCGCAAGCCAGGACTTGGCGCCAGTGTGCAAAGAGGGGAGGCTCTTATCTTCATGGGATATGACATTCTTGTGGCTGGGCTTGGTCGTGGGAGTTCCAAATTACTATCTCGCTGGAAGCTTGGTGGAGCTCGGGATGGCATGGTGGCAAGGAATTGGCACCGTCTTGCTTGCGAATGTGATCACGTACTGCATTCTCGTCTTAGCTGCGCATCCAGGGACCAAGTATGGGATTTCCTTCCCGGTTTTGTTGCGAGCTTCTTTCGGAGTGTTTGGAGCCAACGTCCCGGCTTTGCTGCGAGGCTTTGTGGCTTGCGGGTGGTACGGGATTGAGACTTGGATAGGTGGTGAGGCGATTTTCAGGATTGTGGACGTGATGTTGGGGAAGAACAGGTTCTCCAACTTGGCCGAGAGCTTGCCTTTGCTTGGGACCTCTGTGCCCGAGCTTGGGTGTTTTTTCCTGTTTTGGCTGCTGCAGCTGTGGATTGTGTGGAATGGGATCGAGAGCATTAAGAAGCTGGAGAAGTATAGCGCTCCGGTGCTTATCGTGCTCACGGTGGCCTTGCTTGTTTGGGCCGTCGTCTCTGCTGGGGGATTTGGAGCAATGCTTGCTGCTTCTTCGGCATTTGGACGTGGTGGTCGCAAGGAAGGCAAGTTCTGGCAAGTTTTCTTGCCTTCGCTTACAGCAAACATTGGAACGTGGTCGACTTTGAGCTTGAATATCCCAGGTATGGTTCCACCTTTCTTTTCTTTCTCCTCGCATGGTTGCATCTCATTTCTTTTTTCTTCTTGCAGATTTTAGCCGGTACACTTATTCGCAGGCTGATCAAATCCTTGGCCAGGCAAGCCTGCCTCTTTTCATGGCCGCCTTCTCTTTCGTCGGCCTGGCAGTGACATCGGCTTCGGAAGTCATATTCGGACACGCCATATCCAACCCCATCGAGCTCCTTTCACGGATACGAGGTGGCTTTCTCGTTGCTGTGGTTTCACTCATTGGAGTCACCCTGGCCACTCTCACCACCAACATCGCAGCCAACGTCGTGGCACCGGCAAACGCACTCGTCAACCTTGATCCAAAGCGATTCACCTATAGAAGCAGCGGACTCGTTGTGGCAGTCATAAGCGTGTGCTTCCTTCCGTGGAAGCTCCTCCAGACCAGCGAAAGTTTCATATACGCTTGGCTAGTCGGCTACTCGGCACTTCTCGGCCCAATCGGAGGTATACTTCTTGCTGATTACTACATTCTCAGGCAACGAAAGTTGGATATTGACTCCCTCTATTCCTCGAGCAACACAGGAAAATACTGGTACTCCAAAGGTGTGAATCCCGCGGCAATGGTTGCTCTTACGGCTGGAATTCTACCCTGCATTCCAGGCTTCCTGAGCACCGTCGGCCTACTGAAGCTCAAGATTCCAAGGCTTTTGCTAGCTCTGTATGATGGTGCATGGTTTGTGGGGTTCTTCGTGGCTGGACTCGTATACTTGACGCTTTCGTGCTTTCCCCGAGTGGAGAGAGCCTTGTAAGCATGTCAACCTCTGTAGAGTTTTCAAAACAAGGGAGCTGCAGAGTAACTTCACAGTGTTGCTTAATGACGCCACTCTATGCTCTCGAGAGCTAGATCTAAAACTTAGGCTTTGTACAATGCAGAATTGTAAAATGGTTTTTTGCAAGAGAAGTGCCTCAGTCACACGCTCTATAGGACATCTTACCTCAAAGCACTTAGCCCCACTTTTCGCTTTGGAGCCCATATGTCAACAAGCTATATGTAACTTTGGATGGGATTGGATTGAATTTGATTGCCAGAAGGGGCAAACACCACACAAGGTTTCTGTTTTTCGAGTCGCTCCTGAGCTCTTGAGCCAAGTGCTCGGCCATGGCTGATAAGAGTTATCCTTACGGCTATCCTCCTCAAGGTTTGCTTTGCAGCGAGAATCTTTGGGTGACATTTCGTTGGAAGGTTGTAACTCGCTTGTTGTGTTCAGGTTACTATCCACAGCCACCTCCAGTGGCTCCTCCTCCGCAGTATTATGGCCCTTCTCATAGAGACCAAGGCTTTCTAGAAGGCTGGTAAAAGAAAATCATGTTTTTTGCTTGTTGGTCTTCTAGTAACTTTTACAGAGACTAAATTTGCTGGGAATTTGCAGCTTGGCTGCCCTTTGCTGCTGCTGGTTACTGGATGTTTGCTGCTGCTGCGGCCCACACATGCTCATTGGATGCTGATGATTCCTAGTAAATTTGAAGCTCTACATCTGATATATGGAGTTTTAGTAACTTCTTGGCTATGGTAGCGTTGGATCTTGCTGCGCTGCAAAATCATATACATATGCGCCAATTATTTCTTATTTTTCGGTAAATTACGCAGATTTTTCTGTGCAGACTTTGGAACCTATATATGATTATGCTACTGCTCGAATGTGCTTGGCCCTCTGGAGAGGAAAGCTATGGCCGCTCAATGAGAAAACGAGGTTTTTGCTCCACTCACAACAAAACGGTCACAGTGGCTGGTCAACGTTTGGTGAACGTTGTGGAATATTCGAACGATGATCATGTAAAGGTAAAAGGTAAAAACCGTTGACGGGGCAAACTTGCGACAGAAGCTTCAAGCTTGCCCTAAAAGGGTAAAAGGCTGGAAAATTTTAGAAAATGCCGGGCAATGGGCTCCGTGATGCCGCGGCGGGAGGAATTCTCGCTTGCCAGGGAGTGCAATGCAACTGCAGCCAGAGCGATGGCCTCGAGATCCTCTTCCGCGAGATCCTCAGCCTCCACAGCTACTGGAGCAGCTTCTTCGGTGCCGAGCTCGACGCTCCGCGGGTAAGGGTTTTTCTCCCCCAGCTGGTTGGAGCCGTGGATTCGGCAGCGCGGCTGGTCCGGAGCTACTCCAGCGGGCTATGGCTGCTCTCGTCGCTGCGCAAGCTTGAGAATCGAGATGGGTTCTTGCACGCCGCGGAGATTGTGTGGAGGTATGTGGAAATCGTGCAGCGGCAGC